AGAGCGTGCAGAGTTCTGCAGCAGAGTTAATATTTGGTCTTACATTTTGCCTTCTTCTAACTGGAAAACAGAGAGACTGGCATTTTTTTTAAACGGGCTCTTCCCATAATGGCATTCTTGTATTGTGTGGCCAGAGCTTGCACAGGAGGAAAGCAGACTGCCGAATTTAGTCACTGATCTCTATTAGCTGTGGCCTAAGGCTATGCTGAGGTTTATATCCCATTTGTATTGTTGCAGCTCAAAAGAAGAATGTTCAGAGGATGACAAGTGTATTCTGAGTAGGTATGTTGTTTCATTTTCATATGAAACCCGTCTATTATTTTTTCCTGCTACTATTGGTCAGAAATCAGGTTAATAGGTGCAGAATATAGTGCAGTGCTGCAGTATCCCTGTTAAGGTAGAACAATGGTAATGCAAGCTTAAAATAATACCAAAAAAAAAAAAAAAAAACCAAAGAAAAAACAAAAAAAACCACCCCAAACCCTAGCCGCTTTTATCAAATAAAGCTGCATTGTGTGGTATGCACAGTGCAGTCTTTTCAAAAAAATATACTGCAGTCAACGCTTTCCTAACGAGGTGGCACTATTGTTGAGTTCGAACGATAGAATCATCATTTGCTTTAGGGGACAGGAGGATTTAAAGGAGGTACCTTGCAGCCCTATTTTACAGATTGGAAGCATCGGTTTAAGGGCACTGGCAGAATCGTTTGCTTGTTCTCCGTGGCAGCCGCTGCTGTGTCAGTACAGTGTGGAATGGAAGTCATAGTTGGTAGTCTGTTATGGAAACGCTGTTTACTGTTATTGTAGTACCGTGGTGACAACATGCCATTGAAATGGAAAACGAGCTCTCCTGCTATCTGGAAATTCCCAGTTCCTGTGCTTAAAACATCCAGGTCAACTCCACTTTCTCCAGCATACATGTAAGTGAGAGAAAATAGGATATTAAAGTGGGATTTCATTCATGAATCAACCTTGTGACAAAAGGGGGTAAAAAATCCCAAACAGCAATATCCAAAACCCCACAAGATGAAAAACCTCAAGCTTGCTTACATTTAAATATATTGGCATGCCCACATTTTACCATTGTTTTGTTTTTCTAGGAGTTTATGTTTCTTTTCATTTAAAGTGCCTAATGGTAATGTCATTACTAAGATGAAAGTCTAAAGGTATATCTAAGGAATTGCATAAGGATAAACTTTTACATTGGTTGGATGTTTTGAATTTTTGTGTATCTGAAATACTTAAGAGGACTTCTTTTGTGTAATGGCACAAAAACTGCTTATGATTGATGTTGATGTGTTAAATATGGAAATGCTTTCTATAATTTTTTGATGAATTTGAAACATTCAGAGATAACACATTGATCAGAAAATGAGTCTTTTAATGGGGACCTGATACTTGAGTTGTGTATGAACATTAATAAATTTGATATTATATCTTTCTCAGTTTTATAATTCGAGTTCTGAAGTATAAGTTTGAATTTGTGCAAATTATAGTTCTATGAGTAGTTATTTATATACATGGAGTCGAAAAGTGTATTATACAAATATCTATTTTTGAAATTTATTTTAAGTCAATATGTACTGAAATATATTGGGACGTCTATCTAGAATTTTTGAAAATCTTATTTTTTAAATTTGCAAAGTGTTGCTTTAAAAACAGAATCTGGGAGATATAATAAAATATTCTTTTAAAGTATTGTCTGTGATCTTTTTTTAGTAGAGGAAGGAGTGAGGGAAAGCTGGACTTTTTTTTTTTTTATTAAATAATTGTACGTGAAAAGCTTTTGAGTGAAAGTCTGTCTTAACTGTAAGTGTTCCCTTTAAAATATTTTTCAGTAGGACAGATGTGGAAAATTCTTCCCACTTTAGGTTCATTGTGTGTTTAGAAATCTGGTGAGTTGCCATTTTATTACTTAGTTTTTGTTTTATATGAGGTTCAGATGCACAGTGGTATCTATCTGGTTCTTTGAAAGGCTTTCAGCTGCTGAGGAAGTGTGCTTGTGCTCTCAGCCCAAAAGAAGCAATTCCCGGGAAAGCGAGGAAAAATGAGGACATTTCAGAGTTGAAACCTGTCATCATTTCATTTTCAGATTATTTTTTCTATTCCTTCTTAGAGATGCTTCAGGTTATTTTATCTGGGTGTTAAACTCTGTTTCCTGTAAAGTTAAAAATTTAAATTATATTTGTAAAAGAAAAAAGAAAAAAATCAGCTCTGTTTGTTTCTCAAAAGCTGCATTTGTCAAAAGTGCAAATTAATGGAGGTGACAAGTTAATGGAGCTCCTTCAAATAATTCGAGAAAATGAGATGTGCCTGTTGACTTTATATATCTTAGCTGGTGAGAAATGACCAAAGATTTACCAAAAGCAACTTCATCATCAAAACAAAACATACACACCCCAAACTAAAATCAATAGGTTACAATTAATAATGGTTACTAATGATTCTAGTATTCCTACTGCATTTTACTGTCCAAAAGATCCAATTTGTAGCCCCTGTTGCAGCTGATTTGTTACTTTTTCGAGATGATTAAAAAATACTTACATTTTTTTAATCCATACTAGCCACAAGCTCAGATACAGCTTAACACAACATCTTTAATGAACCACTTTCTTTCTTTTAAGTCCTCACCTCGTTGACCTGGTGATATGAGTGAATTGATTTAGATGAGAGAAGCCAGAAAATGTCATAGATCTTGCACGTTGGCATTAACTGTTGGCAGTACACATATGTAGAATGGAAAAGTATATTTGAGGGGCTGGTGTTAGTCTGGACTATTTTGACATTGTGACGGTCTGTATTGTTAAACTGGCCTTAACTTATTTTTTTAATAAATAAGTTAATGATGAGGTTTAAAATATTATGTAAATATACACAGAGAATATATGTTAAATATAGGAAAAGAAGACTAGCTTGGGGAGTTTAAATCAAGTTTTAAATAAATTGTTTCGTTTTTGACTGATTTAGAGTTCCTTGCCTTGCTGGGCCAGAAATAAAAATACCACATTGAACATGTTCTCATCAGTGCTTCCTTATATTCCATAGCACTTCTACACACAGATGATATTTAAGTTGAGCATATTTTTCACTCAAAAACTGTAAAGAGTAAGTTAGAATCCTGGGTCAAGTAACATCATGTTTGCTGTCATGGTCGGTTGGGTTGGCAAACATAGATTAGATGGCTACTTGTGTCTTTTGGGTCTAAAGTCTTTGCATTGAAATGGAGCAGTTAAATTCTGACTCTCTGATAGACTGTGATATTTTAGAATTTACCTGTAAAATTATGTATAAACATTAAAAATACTATCTTGAATATAGAATTCTTCCCAGTTAATATAAGCATCTTTTGGTATATTTGCTTGTATTGGTTTGTAATGTTTTATATCGTTATTTCCTGTGATTTGTCAAATACATATTACATGATTTTCATTGATGACTTGGGTGCTTTTTCAAAGACTGAAATTTCAATATAAAATATTTTTGCTTGTGGTAAAAATGTGTTGTAGTAATGGAGCAAATATGGAGAAATATAAAGGAGGTTCCTTATGGTTTCTTTCTAAACTCAACGTAGGTGCTGCTGGCTAGAACTCTTCCATTCATGCTGGTGATAGGGCAGTGCTGCTATCCACTAGTGAAAGCTAGAATAGAGAATGTTTTACTTACTGCAAACATTGAACAGACAAGCTTTATTTCCTTGTGGATTTAAAGTCCAAGTTGGCTTGCTTTCTGCTTGTTTAGAACCTGAACGTGAGTTAAAACCTTTCCATATTTTCAAGACTTATTGATGATAAAGACAATGTTTATGATAATATTAAGGAAAATAGTTTCTTATATAGCATAAAGTGCTTTTCAAATTGTGTTAAAATATGATTTGGGAAGAGTGGAGTATCATAAAGACAAAAGATTTGGGAAAATAATCCTTTGGCCTCCAGATAGCTTGATTACCAAATATTATTTAGTCTTTATTAGGTAGAGTCTCCCTTCAGCTTCAGTTTTGAACACTTGCAAGGGTGGTGTGCCATCCATGTGGAATTCTGAAGGGACTGTCTTGATCGAAATCTGAGTGATGTGTTTGTGTTACACTCTGTTCAGCAGAAGGTTGAAGTTCAACCTTAGCCTGAAGGAGTATCTCCTGGTCAGTGTAAGCTGAATTAGTAGACTCTGCTCCTGACAGCTGTGAACCATGTAAATTAACCTGTCAATTTGCCTAAATTAATAAAGCTGAAAGGGCAGTCACTTCTAAGTGGTTTCCTGGTGTTTTGGTATTCATTGTTTTCAAGCAGCAAATGATTCCTTCAGGCTGATGTTATAGGGTTAATGTATTGTTAGATTCCAAGGACACACTGAAATAGGACAGAATTAGCATTAGCTATCCTTTTATCTTTCTTCACAAGCAGTTGAGTCTTGCTGATAATGGTGTGGCCACAAGGAGGAAGACAATAGGTAAGAATTAACCAGCACAATGTAACAGTGAATCATAGCAAGCCAGACAATGGGTGTAGAATGTTAGTGAATTAGACTTGTCCTCTCTTAGCCAATACACTTGTATTCAGTTAGCGTCCTGTTTACCACTATTTTGTTTACTATGTAAAATATATTTTAGAGTAAGTGCCAATAGCACTGACTTTTATAGAAATCATTTTCTATCATTTTATCATTGAGATTCAGTATCTAGATTTCCCTTGCAAAAATGGTGCTTTATTTAATTGTCAATAATTTATCTAGATTTAGTCATACTATATAAATGTTCCTTGTTTGTGGGTGATTCAAAGGACAGAGAAAATTAAAACATGCACTTTCTAAATTTGACATGTTTTCTTTCCCCTGAGATTGTCTTCTTTCTAATTTAGTGAATAAAATACAACCTTGAAAATAAAATAAAACAAAACCTTAGATATCTTTTTCATCTAGCAAAATACTTCCCAAATTGATATTCTCAAATTAGAAAAGAATATAATTAGTTAGATATTTTCACAATTAGTGTGTACATAAACTTTTGTTTGTGTCTGCTTAATTTGGTTTTTTACAACATATGCTCAATCTAACAAAATTATGTGGAGAAATAGCATAAATAACACAGAGCAATTTAGCGCTCATCTGTAACTCTTGTAGCATGTTTCTTGTGAATTTCCATTGTCTGAACTTGCAGAAGGGCTAGCCTAACACTTATTAATGGAAAATCATAGAGATAAAAGTGACCTTAGATGTCATTTAGAGAATCCAAATCCCCTTTAAAGCAGGAATCCTTCCTGTGACAACTCTGAAAGATGCCGATGCACGTTC